CAATTTCAGCGCGGTTTCGTCAACGTACTTACAATCCCCCTCGTTGCAACTCATTTTGTAGATAACTGCTAAGGCTTCAGTTACTGGCAGTGTGTCCTTAGGTTGCATCAAACCGCGACGAATTGTTGCTTTGGCTCGATGGGATATGACTACTCTGGTGGTTTGTAATAGTATAGAAACGGCCTCTGAGACTCCTTTAATATATGAACTAGTCTTCGATACTTCAGGTTGATGTTCCCGTGGCCGTCGTCTGTTCGATTGATGCCTTTTTTCCTCGATAAAATGGTTAAGATATCCATAAACCCAGAATTGTAAATTGCAGCCTCTATACTCTTCTTCCTCTGTAGCCGGATTCTACCCCGAAAAAACGACTTTGTTACCCCTCCATACGCCACCAGCGGGACGGTATGGTGGTCTCCACCGGTGACAACGTACTCCTCTGCAGTGGACCCAACCGGCATAATGCCCCGCATGTCGCCAAAGTGACCGCACTCTTCCCTGATTCCGAGACAGGTACCGCATTCTGTACATACCATAGAAATCCTTTCCTTTACTCAGTGACCGGGCCCTTTTCCCCTCAAGCTGCACTTCCGCGGAGGCAGTTTTCGTGATTCTCGAGTGTGTTCGTTGACGGAGTGAGATTAATTTCTCAAAAGCCATTCTACCTATACCTTGCATAGCTGTTTATGCATTGCACGCATAATATCGGCTTTGTGGATCGTATCACGGGGTTTGCGCGTCTTCCCTGAAGCTTCTTTTGGAATTTTGAGTGTATGTGTGCCCGCAACAACCACCTAAATCCTTTGTTCGCGATTTTCTTCTGTGGGCCCTTGGTTTGAAGGACCTTTCCTTCGGGCGCCTTTGGCAAACAGCCTATTAAATGACAATTTAGTATTGTTGTACTACGATGCTGTAGTCAAATTTTGTCGTAATCGCTAGTTCTGACCTCGGTCCTCTGTGCCTTGGTTGCATCCTTGCTGTGGTTCAAATGCCAAGGTACTTCGAAGAAAGAGGGGCCAAAGGTGGTTGTGACGACTTCTCCACCTTCAACAACACATTGATGAATTATTGAAATGGCAACGTATAGCAGCGTAGCGAGACGTGTCACACGATTGATTGAAACTAATTGTACATAATATCGATGCGACCAACGCTGACCTAGGCGGTTTTCAAAATGTCACAGGGCGTATTTGGCCACGGCAGGTCATGTAAGTCCCCTTAGCTACCACTATCCTTAGGATCTTATAAAACGATAATGATGACTTTGAGGGCAGTCTCACCACGGACAAGCAGCGAAGGGTGTGTAGGGAAAACATGAGTAAATATCCACCAAACTTATTCTTATAAGCCTATATATACTAATGAAATTGAGAATGATATCAAAAAAGCAACTCTCACCAAATAAAAGGAATTTGAGTAGTCAGAAGAACAACTGACGAGCACACATAGGCTCTCAATAAATTCTCGTCGGTCCATTACGTTTCGTTGACGAATAAGATGAGGCAGCGTGGTGGATAGAGTTGAGAGCGTGGAAACCAAGGCAAGCCCTGATGTGCCCAGGGCCTCAAACAAGTATTTACTCGGAATAGCATAGAGACAGATTCACACTCCTCGTTGAGATCAAGGGGGTATGAGTCCCAGAAATAGTACCAGTACTACTAGCACTCAACTACATTGCTAGTTAGTAGTAGAAGGAAGAGTAGTAGCAGTACCAGTAGCAGTACCAGAAGGAAGGATCGTCCTAACCGCTTTCAATCCCTCTCTCTTTTCGAAGTAACTTGGAATTTGAAACACTGCAAGAGGGTACATGCTTCTATGATCGATTGCACGGACCCGATTACGTGGGTAGTTAGGCGGATCCAGCACAGCCCTGAATGCCAATTGTCCGTCCTCCTAATTCGCTGTTGTTCCCAGAGAGACGAACCGTGATTCTGAAGTGACTGACCGCCTTGCAATCAGAAATGACGATTTCTGTGTTACTTGTCTTTGGTTGGTGCTGTTAGTCTTACAGCATTGATATCTTTGCTCAGATATAAACCCGCGTGCAGTTCTCGACGCGTAGAGAGTGACTCTCCGTTTTCAAACGACCTAAAACTGTTGCGTATTACTGCTTACATGTTTGCGTTTTTTATTCTTAGCGTTGTTGATTTCTCATGTTTTAGGGCTCATAAATTGTGAGTTCTCCGCAACGAGAAACCTGCTTTCCTGTTAAGTTTCAAACAGCAAAAACAGCCAAGAATGAGGCTGTAGCATATCCTTCGACTAATTAGGAAATTGTTGTGGTTAACACGGTAAGGGATTTATTTCACTATTCAGGGGATCAAACCCGACAGGCTGGACTTCCAGTTTTCGCTTTCAGACGGAATAAAATAAATGTTATCATGCTCACTCCTAGACCGCCCAACGCCTGTTCGCATCGCTGACGGCGGCCGTTGTTTAACCACCACTGCTGGAGGATATATCTGTTGGGACTTTTATCGATGAGGTTATTGCCGCATGAGGCCATCTTCACTGTAAATCAACCGGTTAATTAGCGCGGTTTTTGGCTTAGACAGAATATTCGTATCACACCAATTCTTTGTGTCTTTCTAGAGAGCGAGGACTTCACCTTCGCACAACTCCGGAAGGATAAATCCACAGTCGTGCCTTTTGGGTGCTCCGTTATTTTTCGGAGCACTTCTTTTCACGTTGACTGACAGCCATTTAGGTCGAAGGAAACGCTTAACTGGGGAGGGGGGCTGCCGGCTAACACCTCGAGTACTTTGGCTCCTTTTTCACGTGCACACGCAAATGGTAACCGCAGAGCTTTTGTACATCGATGCATGAAACAACAACAATCTAGCAAAAAAGAACTAGCTAGTTCCACTCAGGTGCCACAAACAAATACATGACGAATCCTTCCTTGTATGAGGAATGCGTCTGGACTCGTTTAAAGGCACTTGAGGAAATACAAAATAAAATTGGCGCACAAACCAACGACTACTTTATGTGTCCAGCTTGTATACCCTAAGGATAGGGTTGGCCATTACAAGATCCCATACGAAGATTGTGATACCGTATAATACAGCCAAACGCCTTCACTAACACCACATTACAGTGATACAGGACACAGCTTCGCATGGGACAAAACACGCATCGTCAGAGTTTGCTTTTCCAAAAAGACCGATAATTTCTTGAGTCCATGCACTCCGATGATTCATGTATCGACCGATACTTAGAGTTAGCTGGAACTTATAAAAATATCGATGAACGGTGAAAGAGACGAAGCCTGCTCAATACAGACTGACAGAAGCCACAACTGCCAATCAGCTCTCACACCATATGACTATTGATTTTTTCCACTTGTTTGAAATTTTAGTTGTTCCTTGTGCATTTGCGTTAGTCCGAAGACGGGCTGGGAAAAAAATTGTCGAAAATTCACTGATTAAATTTACCTTTTTATCGCAAAAACATATTTTCTTCAGATTCAATTTCCTGGGATGCATGAATTCCAATTTATACATCCAAGTATCTGCAATGCTCACTCTCCGGTCCTTTTTTTATTCATCGCTTTTCTGCTTGTTTCAGGCACCAAAATGATGGCCCTCATGTGGTACTACCGTCCCGAAAGCCTCACTCCGCCGCGCCGAAACTGTGTGGAGTCCGAGCTGTTTGCCAGTCGCCATTGTGACGTGAATCCGGTGGACTGCATTGAGGACCGCGCCTACGTCCTTTCAGCGGCCGCATTTGCCCGGTTTATGGCAATTACAAAGTACAAAGAGGTGTGTTTGGGGGGCCCCTTAAATGACCCCACTATTCTGTATTACCGTCCCTGAGAATATGGTGTGCTCCGGGCATCAAACATGTATTTACTCGGAATAGCTTAAACCCATATTCACCCTCCTTGTTGAGATCGAGAGGATATGAGCCCCAGCGTTGACCTTAGTTAGCGTAAACTCTGACAAATACTAACGTCAGAAATAGTGCCTGTAATACTGACAGCCAGCTACCCTCCTAATTAGTAGTAGTAGTAGTAGTAGTA